ATGTTATTAAACAAACAAAACTCTCTGGGCAGTTCACAGAATAATGCATAATAGCTTCTCAACAGATAATCCAAAAAGCATTTATAGGCAGCTACTTAGCACAATACCCTTAATAGTGAGGGATCCTTTTCTCTTTTTTTTCCCTTTTAATCTGCACTCAGTCATTACCGACTCTGCAGTGACTGCTTTTGGAAGAGTCCTTTGCAGTTTTCAAGGCAAGGTGTTTCGGAAGTGGTTTGCAATAAAACTAAAACTGATAACTGTTTAGTCCTTGGAGTTCTCTGAGCTTGGTTGTTTTCTGGCAGATGTTTCAAGATGTTTGCTAGCACTGAAGATGTTACCCAGCAGGTAGTGAAACATCTGCCAGAAAACAACCAAGCTCAGAGAACCCCAAGAACTCTACAGTTCAACCCTGAGCTACATATATTCTCTTCTATTGGATAATTATTTGCCAAGGCTGTTTTGCTAGACTACCACTTACAGTGCTTCCACATGGAAGCATATCCTCTAGGTGCTCAGATCTGGAAGAATGAAATGAATTATTTCAGTAAATATAAGGTGGGTGGGGAGGATGGCTCCATTGTGGCAGGATGTTGGATGTTCAAGCTCCTACTAAGCAACTCTGCCTAACCTTTTCGCCACATGCTGGATTCCACTTAAAGCCAACCCTGTGTAAATAAATTGACTTTTGAAATTTGCAAGCTAACCAGAAATCCACAGAAGACACTTTATCAGTTACCAGACTGGAGAGGGAAAAATTTACATGAGAAAGGCAATATCCAGAGTTTCTAGACTGGTCTGGGGAATTAAGCATCTTCTTCCAAAGTTGGTTGTTATGTGATTTTAGTATGTTAGAGCCAGTCCAATAAAATCTACTGGCTTAAGCAAAGGTCAAGATGATGCTCCCTCCCACTGTTGTGCAAAAGCTAAATGATCTGGAAATTAAACCTTTCTTGAGGACTTACTTAAGAGGCATATTTCAGCATGCTGGCAAAGTAGCCTAGAACAAGGTCCCTCAACCTGAATGCCCTTCAGGTATTTAATTGGTAGAGTAAAATGTGTGAACTTCAACCTTCAGTGTTTCCCAACCAGCATGACTCTTGCTAGAACTCTGGAGAGTGTTCAGATCGGAGAAGCCTAGCCTAAAGAATGCAGAGCCAGCCCTGTCATGTATTACCCTGTTCCCCAATTTTGTTGCCACTTCTCAGTACCTGCTGCCTGGGGCCACTGGCTAATCATATACAGTAATCAACTCTGCAGAAAATCCACATCTGTAATTATTTCACCGTGGAATATTTTATCAAAGATTATAGATCAACCTCTTCCAGGAAAAGAGGTTGTGACATTACTCACCAACTAGTAAGACTAAACTGTTCTAAAATTGCTACACAAAATAATTAAACAAAATGTGAAGTAGTTTAAGGAACAGAACTAGGTTCCTTTTTTACACAACCAAAATTACAACTGTGCTACTTCTGAAAGTAACATCCAGGTTGATGACACTGGTTGCAGAAATGAATAAGTTTCATGGAACTTCAGCAGCAAAATGGCAAAGTGCTGACTTACTAAGCACTTGTATGATATGGTTTTGATCCTGAAAAGAAAAACTTTACAGAATTCCAGAGAAGTCACTTCTCTAACGTGAGGGAAACTGAAATAGGATTTTGTTCAATATAGTACCTTTGGAGTAGAGGTGGGACAAAGTGGGACTTTCCTGTTGCTATTCAACTACACCCATGGTTCACCTCATTTCTGATATTGTTTTCAGCAACTGCATAGTAATCTGGTGCTCTCAAATGCTCAGAACGTCAGTTACTATTAACATTAAAAAACAAGGGTAATGACAAAGGATGACGAAAATTGTAGACCGAACCAGTGGAAGGTGATCTGCCTGCTTTTCAAAAGATTCATAAATTGTGCTAAATTGTCATGCTGCTAAATCAGCCCCTATGATTTCTAAAGCATGGTCTCTGGCTTAGCACAAAGAGTGAACTCAATCAATTACAGTTTATTCAGCAAACCACAGATTAGTATGGTATGTGAACCAAGGCCTTATTTTGAACTGCAATATAAAAAATATGAGACATGGTTATGACTCACGCAGACCTGTTTTTCCTTAACAGATAGAATTTTATTTCCACCTCAGATCACAGCCGAGTTGGGTTACTAACTTTTTCTCCAGCAAGTCTGCTATAGTAGAATTGCAGCAAACAAGGAGCTTCCCCACTATTTCAAGAACAGCTACAGCTGGATAATTTCTGCTTGTTACATTATTGTTACAACACAGAACCTTTGCAAGCTAGCATTCCATGCAATATAATTAATAACTACAGTACAAGCTATCAAAGCACCTCGCTTTAGAGACTCAAGCAAACTAGTGATCATACCACCCACCACAATTACAAACAGAAATTCGTGTTTTAATTTATTAAAGAAGATTACTTGAGAAGAGGAAACCTAGATTCAAACCTCTACTCCATCATGGGGCTTAGCAAATGACTTTAGGCTGGTCATTTTCTATCTCTTAGCTCAGCCTACGTCAGAGGGTGGTTGATGTGAAATAAATTTAGAGAAAGCCCTCATGCATTGGCCTAGAGATTTCAGAAAAAGCCACACTATAAATGCAATAAATAAACAAAAATGGCAAACAGTTAAGTGGTAAGCCATTATTGCCTTATTACACTTTTGGTCATATCCTCTAAATTTAAATAACAATGGTTACGTCCAAATAAGTTGATGATGTCACCTGCAGCTCAAACTTTTATAGTACATCCTGCTGTTTTCAGTGGCTTTATATTCAATTTAATATACATGAGATTACAGTTTTGCATACCTACAATTAAAAAAAGGGGGAAACTAATACACCCTAACTATATTTAGAAGAGAAAATGGAAAAAATGTTTACCTCCATGCTAAGTGTCAAACATAGCTGTAAAAACAAAAAACAAACCCCAGTATTATATCTAGAAGAATCACCAGTCTCTATTTTAAATTCTGTTCCAAAGTCTACTTCACTTAAAACAAATTTGAATGACAGCAAAACCCACTGGTTAGCACTTCCTTGTGTTTTCTAACACAGAATAGTCCTGTGGAGTCCTTGGAGTTCTCTGAGCTTGGTTCTTTTATTTATTTATTTATTTACCAAATTTTTCAACCACCCATCTCCCCCCGATGGGGGAACTCTGGGCGATTCACAACAAACATTAAAAACATAAATACCTATAAATACATAAAACGTTTTCTTGCAAACGTTTCATTACCCCATCCCATTTTAGCACTGAAGATGTTACCTAGCAGGGTAATGAAATGTTTGCAAGAAAAAAACCAAGCTCACAGAAACCCAAGGAC